GAGCGTCTTTTAATTGTTTTGCAATTTCTACACGAGCTTCCAAGCAGATGTCACTGAGGGTAACCTAGAAATTGACGGCAGAGCAAGCATCCTCTTCCCTTGCATTTGCTCCATGGTAGTAGGTTTGTTACCTTGGGTTAAGAATATGGGTGAAGTAGCTGGACAGCAGCAAGCCGGGCTCAGCGGTGATGCTGAGTTGTCGATGCTATAATCTTTCTTTACAGGGAGAATAGGAGTCCTTTTTTCCTTTCTGAACTTTGCCCTCCTGTTCTTAAACCAGATCTGTAAAAAGAAAATGAAAATAGCAGCAATATAAATTGAAGTTGATTGTCTTGCAACTTTAACAAAAAGCGTTCAACTACTCTGGCTAAAAAGAAACCAGCAGCAAGTAGACAATAACAGCATCCACATATTCACAGCTCAGTCCAAACTACGGACCATCGTCGAGGCGTGGCTGGGGTAGGCAGTGCAGTTCTTGAGCTATTGCTTACTATATAAATGTCAGACCTAAATGTATGACGCTAACCCTAAACCCCTTTTCAGGGAAACACTTAACTGTGTATAACCTTGGGGTTGAGAAAGCTAAATAAACAGCCGTAGCGGGTTAGTGAAAAGGAGGTTTCCAGCGTTAGCCCTTCGTCAGAGGATACTATAAGGGATAACCTTTGTCAACTTCAAGATGAACAGTTAAGTGTTTCACTGGCCCGTCTACCAACAGTTTTTTTCGAATGTTACACCTTTTAAAGTGATATTGATTCGTTTCCCCCTGGTTCCCGTTCCTCTTATGGTTCCCTATGACAGTATGTCTATTCAAGACTGCCAGAATAAATAAGTAGGCATTTAACACCAAATAAATATTTAACTCAACATTTACAGACATCTTTCCCGATAGCTTGTGAAGTTGAAAATCGCGAGCATGTCTGCTTGACAATTTATAGTGATAATGTAAAGGCAGTTATTCCTCAAACCTGTATTGTAGAGTCTGGCAAGCTGGTCCATTCGTTTAGCTGTTCCCGCATCACCACATCAGGGTAATGAGTGTGTGAAAACACGTTCTCCAAGGTTTTCAGTTGATACTGAGTGAACGCCGTGCGAGTTCGCCGACGTTTCGGTCCCCCGCCTTCTGTATTGTTCTTGGCATCCATTATCACGTCTGAGAAAATGGTAGTGGAAGATCAGAGTTATAATTGTGTAGAGTAAGTTTGTTTAAGTGTTGGAAACAGAAACTGATTTTCCGGGCTCTAAATTTGGTTTACCTTAAGCTTTTTTGTCATCGTTAATTTTCTCTTTTGATAGCACCTGTTGTTGTGACGGTCTTATCTTTCCAAGCGTAAGCTTAAGGTACTTTTCGGCTTTTTTTTCTGTCATGGTATTTTGAAAAAAAGTTCTCTTCGCTCACTATATGCCACTATATGTGTTTTTCTTATAGACACGTGGTATACGTCAATACCAATAAAAAAATTACAATAAGTTAACAAAAGAAAAAGAAAATAAAATTGCTATAGTTTTTTAAAAGAAATTACAATAACATACAATTTCAGTTAAACAGAAAACAAAGGAACGCTCAAAATTATCGCAATCTCCACTTAAATATCAACCATGCTCACAGACTGTATGTTGTCGTTGAATATATGCGCCCGAAGCAGCGCACTAGGTCAGATAGATAACAGTTACACCGTATAGTGCAGTTAATCAAATCATAATCCGGCTATTACTAAAAAAAAGCAAATCTTTCGAAGCCCTCTTTAGTGTCTTTAAACCTTTATACAAACTGTCTGGGCAAATGGTGTTTTACCTTATGACATTCTTGGGAGTGAAAGGCCATGTATGGCGGTTTTTTTGGAGTAATTTATAGACCTTGGATGTGTTTGAATTGAAATTAAATGGGTAAAATTTTTGAGACTAAGTCTTCTACCCCTTAGATTTGCGTAATCTCAATTTGTGTTGCCAGACCCTCACACAATTGAAAACATTATATGGAGAAAATGCTGTTTTGGGTTCATGTAGCCCAGATGCATAGCTAAACATTGGTAAACCTATCGATACATGTTACCTACTGGGAATAATCTTGTAATGTAATTGTGGATTATGGTGAAAAATTCTTGAAGACATCGTCGACGTTTTCGTTTTCTCGTATGGCTTAAACTTGTATGAGTGAGTCTGAGAACATATTTTAGCTCTAGGTATTTGCTACAGTGAACTCCGTTTTACATATACTCATATAATTTTTCAATTTTGCATTTGTATTGTTCAGGTGACAGGTTTTCTACAAAGTTCTGGTCAGGTTTTTTTTCCTTGTTAGCCCAATAAATTTGGTATTGTGGCTAACAAATGCAAGTCTTGTTTTCATAAGTTAGTTATCTTTGCGTGATCTTCTCCTGTTTATTGAAGAAATTAGGCGCATTCATAATTTTGAAGGTGAAGTTCAATGAGGATACCGTTTAAATCATCTATTTATCTCAATGAGTGATCGGCAAACCCTGCGTTTTGGTTAATTAGTCAAGCAATTTAACTTTCAAAATGGCACTTCAAGATGGAAGGTTATCAGTCAAGAAAAATTCAGAGGCAATTTATTATTTCATGACAGGAGATGGCTTGGAATGGAACCCGCGAGTTTGACGCAATTATTTTTCCTCAGAAACAAACGCTTAATCTGATAAAGTTATGTATATTTCTGTTGTTGAAAAGCGGTAAGACTCACAATGAAATAAAGAGTGACCGAATTATCCGAATGGTCCGTATAGAGGGCACTGCAGAATTCAAATTGTGGTAGTTTAGAACAGCAGTAGTACAGGAGTCGCTAATGCTCGAGTACTGTATCTTTTGGCTGAGGAATGAGCAGTAAAAATGTTAAAACAAAGCTGTGTAATAGGTCACGTAATAGGATGTACTTCAGTCTTCTATATTAATGTTAAGCCCTTCCTGTGAGTAAAGTTAAGCGACAGTTTCAGAATTCTATATAGCGTTCTTTGTCATAGTCATATACAAGCGATTAAGCCCATAAATATATAACACTGATCGGATGCCTAATATGTATTTAGGACGCTATTTACAAGATTGGCTGTGATTCCCTTATTCGAGCTAGTGTGAGAACCTGTTTATCATGCGTGATCGTAAGAGATTCCCGTTTTCAGTCAATGCTTTGGTGCATCGTGTCGTATGGCTTATGTAATTAAGACATACATTTCCGGGAGGCACTCCCTTATATGGGCGTTTTGGTCATAAATAGGGTATCGATTTTGGCCATTTTGGTTATAAATAAGGTATGGTTTTAGCACTCTAGTCTTGAATTGGGTAGGTTTCTTAGAAGAAGCTACCTTTTCATCTTTATCGATAAAACCGTCAACAAAAGCCCTTCATAACTTATTTTTGGGGCAACTGTGTCAGCCGCAACGGTCATAAATATGCTATCGAATATTTGGACAGGTCATAAATAGGGTAGGAAAAAACGCAGAGTTTGGTCATAAATAGGGTAAGGGTTTTGGGAAGTGGGCCGCACACCCTCACCCAACTTTTCTGGAAGTACCCCCCTACCCCGAGGTACACATCTTCCTTGCCATGATGCAAAGATGTACTAAAACGGTTCTCGATGGAAATGCCGAGATGGCGCCTTCCCGTATGTGCATAGTTTGTAATGATTTGATAAAAAGGTTATATTGACGGAGAAGTATCACGTTGGAGAAATCGAGAACATTTGCCAGGATTACCGTTTATTTCAACCGATATAGCTAAGTAAGAAACTAGTGTAATCCGCGTATTTGAACTCCCCCGGTACTGATACATTCCTTTTTCGCTTCGACGCAATGCTAAATGCTATCTAATGGAACGTATAACGACTAACCGAGATGAATTTTACCAGTGAATGTTGAGGTTTAAATTGACATTGGAAGTGATTCTAATTTGCCCCTGGGAATGATTTCACAAGAACACTTCTGCCTTACAACTTTCAATTGTTGGTCTTGTCACTGAGGAAGAAATAGTTGACTTAGAGGACGAACGCCTCTCTACCCATGACTACCCATATTCATATTGTGAGGAGTGCACTTGTGGTAAACGCATTTTGCCAACACATTTAACAGTGTTAACTTTCCGGGGGAGGAAGACCTAGGCCCATTAGCTTCAAGTCTAATCGAGTGTCGCCGTCGCGAGTATGTTTTCGCTCAGTTTAGCTGATGCACGGTACAGAAATTTCCCGTTTTTGATCTGGAAAAGGGTATCATTTTTACTCAACATTTAAAACAATTACAAGCAGTTAAGACTAGGTAATTAATGCTTTTACTTTGCAATGGAATATGTTCGCAAAACCAGTGTTGTTTTTATTTGTAGCAGGGCGAGGTTGCTCCGGGGGCGTAGCAGCGCAGAGATTTTCTCCCCCGGTGTTAACTTTTCAACAACAGCTTTTCTGTCTCAACTTGTTAAATAGTATGGGTATTCTTGGCGTATTAATCTGGCTAAATTCGGCTCTAATCCACAACATTGATTAATCGTGACTTACCTGCTAGTCGTTCAGCGAGAGTCAAAGCCTTACTGGCGTTGCAAGAAGATTGGTCGGCTTTTCTAACTCCCCTTGATAAATCGCCCTGCAAGATGTTTGCCACCGAAAATGGAAGTTTGTCCACCGATTCCCCCATTAAGACTGTTGGACGCTGCAGGGAGTAGGACTTGCACACGAAAACAGCCTCTTGGCTTTTTGTTGTGCTGGCTGTTGCAGCTTTTCTGCCGAAGGCTCTTCTTTTCACCCTCCTTAAGGGTGGCATGAAGATCACAATGTAGTTTGCCCAATTGTTTCCTCCTTACACAGTAAATGGTTAATTCGCGTTTCAACACATGCTAAATCAGTTATCCTTGTTGAGAGTACACCGAGAAACCCATCCCGTAATTTGTCTGTCCTTCTGGTATGACCTCAATGCGATGGCGACAGTAGTATCGATTGCAACATATACAGAGCCTAGCTTCAATCCAGTTTGACAAGAATTATTCCCTTAGACTGAATAGGAACGTTCCGTTCCAACTCAAAATCCTCCACTTTGGAGAAATATTTCTCGTCCCTAGAAGAATTCTAAGTGCCTCGTGGAACCTCTTTCCGACATGTTGTAGGCTAAGTATGCACGTACGTTTGTTTACATACGAGACGTCCCTGGCACAGTGGACGTTTATTAAAATCTTATATACGCTAAGAGGTTAGATGTTATCCAAGGCTCTGGAAGATAATTTATTTGTACAGTTGGATCAAATAGTTATAATTTTTAAAGAGATCCTGGACCGCGAGCCGAAACTGATTGCTTCAACTAATTTTCAGCTGTTATCTCGCCAACCTTTTCTATCTGTTGTTTTATAAAGTTTATCGCGCTGTGCGAGCTGTGTGCCTTAGCGGCACTGTAAATGGATCCATTTTGAAATTAGACTCATCTAAAAAGCAATTTATCATTTTCTGTCAAGACAGTAGTGACATTTGTAACAGTAGTAATAGATTGTTGATAAGTAGCTTATGGATCACTCTGTTCACTGACCCATGCTCTCCTTAGTCCTTACTGAATATATGGATATAAGACTGTACCGTTGTGTACATCTCATTTTCCGTAGCGACGCTGACTTTCCGTAGCAAAGCTGATATTCTGTCTACATAAACGGTTTGCTACAAGCAGCTACAAGTGACAACGAAAAGAACATGATCTCAATTGTACCACAATTTGTAATTGTCTGGAATGCAAAAGTGAACTAAATGACCTAGTAGGTTCAGCAAATACTGGTAAGCCCATTCCTTGTTTCCTGCAAATCTCGGATGCAAAAATCTTTCTGAGAGTAAGCACCTCCTCTCACTCTCTTACTACAGTGTGTTACAATATTTTCAAAGACGGATTGCTACAACTAACAAGGTAAGGAAAATGGTTTTTAAAGTAGAGACAGAAGCCAACACAGAAAAATTGTAAGACAGCGTAGATACCAGGATTTTTAACCAATAGCTTACAACTGCGATAAAATTCCCGTCTCCCAGAAAATAATCCTCCAAATCTCTGATGCAAAAATCTTTCCGATAATACCCTCCCCTTTCCACCATGTTGCAGCTGCTCGTTACTTTCGGGACTATCGCTGCTGACGTCATTGTTTACATTTTACCTCTTTGCTATACGACTTTGCGTAAAGAGGGATCATGTTACTCTAAACAGTTGAAGAGCTTGTGAAACTCGTGCATGGCGAAAATTTTAGCTCTTTGGGTGTAATATAGAAAGAGATATTGGCTTTCAAAACTTTCAAAAGCGCCAACAAGACCCGGGGGGGGGGGCACTGCCATATATGGGTTATATAGGTATGTGCCGCTGTGAAGGGTATGGTTTTCAAGTTGTTTACTCTAGGATAGGGTATATATATTAGAGCGTTTGGGTCTAGAATAGGTTATAATTTTTCACAAAACTGATTAGTTGGTTGAAGATTTTATCTAGACTAAGGAAACCAGGAATTGCCACTCAAAAAATATAAAAAAATCAAATCGGCAAGTTTAAATTAACGCAAATCAGCCTCAACAGTGTCGATAGATGGGGGGATTTGGGGAGGTTACTCTAGTATAGGGTAGCAAAATTCAGCTGAACTAGCTCTGGTATAGGCTAGGGGTTCCAGGGTCCCAGCGGCACATCCCCACCCAGAAATTCCCAAAGTACCCCCTCCCCGGGTAACAAGACCACACATTCGTTGTTTCACTTCGAGTTTTTAAACCAGCGTGGCACAAAAAGTATTTCGTTCACTGTTCTCAAATTCCTTGGAATAATTTATAGTGCTATGACTTTCTATAAAAAAAACTGCTGTTTTTGTAACTCAATCAAAAACTAAATCGCTTATGTTAATTAGGCAATTATCGTAAACCCAGACACCTTTATTGGACAATTTAAATTTTGTAACAGAGAAGTGGACGCGGTTGAGAAGAGTCTAAACTAAAGGCTTTTAATTTTACTCAGTGCATGGTGAAATGTTTACCTCTCTGGGTGTAATATTGAAGAGATATTGGCTTTCAAAAGCGCTAACAAAACCACACATTCGTTTCATTTTGAGTTTTTAAATCCTTCGTGGCACAAAACGTATTTCATGCACCGTTCTCAAGTTCTTGGGGATAATTAATCGAGCTATGACCTTTCAATAAAGAATTAATATTTTTTAGCGCAATCAGAAACGGAATCACTTAGGTTAATGAGGCAATTATTGTAAACAAAACTTCCTTTATTGAACAATTTAAATTTTGCAACAGAGAAGTGGACGCGGTTGAGAAGAGTCTGTACTATAGTCTTTCAAATGACAGTCTTAATCCGTTTGAAAAAAACAAACCTGCGTCTTTTTATGATAGAGGTGAGTCGCGACCGTAGCCCCGTCATGGAGCTTTTTATTAGATTTAGCGAACAATTAAGCCATGTAGGGAAAGTAGACCTGCGTTCTTGTCATGTTCTGCTCTACTTTAAAATAGCTATAATGAGGTTAGCCTGATTATGAGGTGTCTGGACGTTGGGAGAGACGACAGTAAATGAAGTGAATAGACTTACAAGATATTTTTAAAATAAATACCTAAGGTATGAGGGGAGCTATCTTTAACAAACTGCTAGATTTCCCTTGCTGCTATAGCCACGAAAAAAACTCGACAAACGGAATCTTTTTTTCACAGTGCGAACTAAGTATGTAAGGTCTTATCGGCTTATAGCTCTCTCAAGGCGAGGACGATATGTAGTCTAGTTGTCCTGCCATTCTCTGTGCAGCAGTGTATGTGGGCAACAGTGCAAGAACAAAAACAGCATAATCTGGCAATAACAAACTTAACCAATTGGCGAGTATGGTCCGCTGACTCCGTGTTTTGTTTAGTTATATATACGCCACAAAGCCACATGAGTCCCTTACTACATGGTGGAAACCACGGTAATTATTTTCTCTTATATGGTCATGAACGTGAGCCGGGTACATCGAAAATGCCGATCTTTGGCAATTTGAAAATCCTGTGGAGCGGTCTGGTAATGAGACAGAGTCTCCTTGAGATACTTGGTATGATGGGTAATGAACTGGAATCAAGGAGTAGGTATTACAATTTGTCACGTTTCGTCTGAGTTTTGCCCTTCTGTTCTTGAACCATATCTGTGAATATAAATAAAAAATATGATATAACCTAGCAGAAGAAACTTCAATCTGAAGCTTAAGATTTATTTAACGCTACCATAAAATTATATAAACATTGTTTTTACACGACGAATCTGTAGTTCTCTGTTGGTGGTATCTTGAAATCATATTAGGAAAGAACACTGGGTGTTTGCTGCGTGACTATACATTCTATTTTTAACTTGCACCCAACAAAAAAAACCCTTTAAAATTATGATCGCTGTGATTCCTCCTCTTCTAAAACGTTCCAGGAGAGGTGTATCTTTGCAAATTTGTAGAGCAAAAGTGGAAAAGCGAACATTTTGCCAAATATTTTTGAGAGGTGTGGGTTGGATTGGTGAAAATGTTATTGGAAATGTACCTGGATTCTTGATTCTGGTAGATTTGTACATGAAGCCAGCTCCTCTCGCAACGCTGTATCCGGATAATGGGTTCTGGAAAAGGTATTTTCAAGAACTTTTAGCTGGTGACGATTAAAGGCAGTGCGTGTACGACGATGCTGTGGTATAGAAGAGCCACAATGTGCCTCTAATATGATATCTGAAACAGAAACAACATCAGATTAGTCGTTTTAATCTGAAGCTAGTAACACCAAGTTTCCTTGTGAACTGCCCTAATATTAGCTCTGACAATTTTGTGATACATCAAGTTAATATTCCCTCGTTGATGATTTTCTCTTCATTATCATTACCTAACGCTATCATTTAGGAAAAAGAGAGCAGTTTTTTTTTTGTATAACGGCGACAAATAACAATTTGAATCAATTGTGTTATCTTTCTCAGATATACTCGAAAATTATAAAATCATGCATAATACAAGAATTGAATAAGATCGTTCAAGAAGGCAAGTCAGGTGTCTTTCGTCATGCTGTTGTCGAGGCTTGAATTTCGCTGTAATAATATTTATCACTGGTGCTTAGTCGGAATAAGCTGATCCTTAAATGGCAGCCATACTTGAATCATGCGGATTTTCAGATCCGCTGTTTTTTTTCCCAGCACCCTAAGTATGCATATGTTTGGTTGTGCGGTGATGCCAATCATATGTCACATCACCAGTTTTCACGTTAAATATTATTTATGAGAACAGTGTGTTAACTACGAAGAACCCCGTTGGAGTTAGGTTTCTTTTTCTGCCTAGCATCTATTTAATTTTATTCAGGAATCTGGAATACTAGGAAATAATTTATGATGAAATTAAAGACCATTCTCATTTCAGGATAGAAATTGGTACACTGTATTAAACTGTGAAAATAGGAAACCTGAACACAAGAGCACAGCTCGATCTGTCCATATTTTGTTTAAGTTGTGGATCAGTTTTCGCATCACCTTTCAGAAATAACCCATCTCTTTATTTTTATAACTGCAGCAAGGGTTTCTGATTGTCCCAAATTACATGTCACGTTAAATTGATTGCCGAAAACAGATTCGTTATTTCATATCATTGTTATAAAAAAAAGGTTCAATCAGTTGCCCAGAGACTATACAATCAAGGTTTGTGCAATCAAGAATTTTAACGCTACTACATGGCTAGGCTGTAGGTACTCGTAAGGGCGAGTTCAGTTTAAAATTAAATGATACCATCAGTTTCTACATTCAGGTCCGTTAGTCTTTACATTGAGGGTCCTACCACTGGCCCACTGCTCTACAATCAAAAATGGTGGCCTCATCCTTGACATCTTTAGTTTTGGTCTTGCGGAGGAATTTTAGATATTCTCTTATCTTGCCATTTTCAATCAAATTCTGTCACAGGGTGTGGGACAATGCTTTCTTGAAGATAAGAAAATCCATGATCATGTTGACAGGGTTTGTGGTATAGTTTGTTCGGTCACTTTTATAACAAAATATTTATTACCTGCAATACACGGCCGGATCTAAAATATAGCACGCATTACGCAGGGTAACTATACTTGCTTCCTCGTGGAACATGCAATTTATCAAAATTATCGTTTCTTAAAATGACAATGACAATGAAAGTATTTGATAATCTGCAAACAAGGGAAGCAACATGTAGCTGTTTAACTATGTTGGATGGAAAAACTTGAACCAGTTGGAAAAGAGCCGTTTGAAAACATGCACGATATAACTGCAAAATTGATAGTTGTGGTCACATAAGTTCAATTCAAGGTTATTAGTTGCAATCACATTTTGTCTCATGTAAAGTAGGGGTAGGTGTTCTTAGAGATCTATATGCAACTATCATTCGTTTGTTTATTTGTTTGTTTCAGTCGTCCGCGAACGCTTTATGTTCATTCTTCGGCAGTAAACGGATTTTAGCTCCTTAGCAGAGCCTTGATCGCTACAAATAAATGCATGTTTGACAACCAAAAATATTGCTTTCTGAGTGATGGTGTTTACTGTTTTCTCCGCAAATTCTAACGTAGATAAATTTTCCCTAGTTCTGTTTTCACAGATATGCCGCACAATTTGTTCATCAACCAAGATGTCGTAACATATTTCCCGAACCCTGAAAAAAAATTAACTCAGGGCTGTCATCCAAAGGGAAAATAATATTTCCCACTTCTGCTTTCAGTGGTTAAAAAGCCGCAAACAATCCTCTCATGTTAGTTTAATATCAAGGCGAAAGCAAGAACATCAGATTAGTCTTTTACACTCAGACCTGCACGTCTTTTGTAAAGCCTCTGCATTAAACATTTCAAACTCTATTAGCAAATAGTTCCGTTCGTTTTCGACAGTTCCGCTCGTTTTGTCAACTGATGGATTAAAAGTTAATTGCGTCTTGCTGGGAGGTAGCACTTTCTACGACAGGTCATTGTGGCGAAGCAGGCAACTGACGGTTGATTATACCAGGGAGTTTCACATATAGAGAATGTTTCAGCCATTTAGCGAAAAAACAAAACCAGCATGGCCTTTTCATGGTTCGTATGTGATCTAACTATACTGTTTTCTCTCAAGCAACTTCAATTCTCCTCAAGATAAAATGAGGTTTTGAAGACCAGCTTAGGGAGTTTGGAGTGAAAATGTTCAGAGAATTGTTTGTGGGAATGAAATATTTCGTGGTGCTTTGCAAGGACTCTTCGTGACTGTGTACTCCTTGGTTCCAGAACATTGTGGCGTCTTCCTTAGATTTTTCAGGTGTTGAAATTGTTTGACATAATCTATGTTGATATGTGATTTCCCAATATCGAGAAATCAAAGAAGGCTTTCTTTGATCCCCTAACCATAGTGGGAAATATACGATTGCAGGGAGCAGAAAAATCGGAATGTCCTGTAATCAATTACGTTTACCTCGAGAGTACAAATTCAAACAGTCCGCTGTCTCAAACTAAGGTTTCATTCGAGCTAGTGCATGGTGAGTTCAGCAGCTAGGATTTAAATTTTCCGATGTTACAGAAAACAAAGGCTTTTTGACTTCAAAACAATGTAATCCAATTCAGTGAATTAGCAGAAGTGTTTACAAAGAAGGAAATATGGCGATGAAACATTCTTCTAACGATATTGTGTTGGATGCGTAGAGAAACAGAATGTTAAGTGACTCTTTACTTTAAAAGAAAAGAGTCAAGCATCAATGTGCTAATAGCCTTGGATAAACGAGTAGTTGCTATACATGAAATGAAAACGAGGAGCAAATATGGCATAACACTTAAAGAGAGGGAAGGTAGTACTCGTGGCTTTTTCTTGATCGATCGGCAGCATTCAGAAGGACTTTTGTGTACAGAAAGGGCTTTCAATATTTGTGGAAGATTACTTATTTTACCAAAATAGGAAACTTCAAACCTGCAAGGTGGGCCGCCACAGAAAGGGCTTTTATTTTTGATGGAGTCTGTTTCGGTTCTTGTTCTCCTCTGTCCCCATCCGGCTTCAACAGATTTTCCATCATAAAAGAGGACGATTTTTCGCTCATTCTCTTTTCTCTGCCGGACGCTGCAGCTGGGCTGGAAGGTGTTGCATGATTCATGTTTGTTATACTTTGATGACACGCAAGCTGTTTATTCCAAGGCGTTCCAAAGAGACTGAAGCGTCAGTAAGACTAGGTACTGAACATGCCAAATTGGGACAGGAACATCTGGTATCTGCATTTTATACTAACCATGTATAACTCGCGTTAGGAACACCTAAATGCAGAAAGGACTTCCATCCGCTCGATTTCCGTCATTTGAAAGAATGGTACATTGGTTACATGCTCAAGTACAACACGTCAATTTATTTCCCTTATATTCCAATCTTTCCATGCGGACGCATCCCATGCGTTAATCCCCGCTTTCTTATCAGATGCAAATCAACATCACCCAATCCAGCGGAATTTGAATACTGTGTTTAGAGAACCTCACGGATTGTTGTCATTGCTTAGTGTGGTAATTCGCAAGACTTACTTATACTCTGTAATCCTTAAAGCATGCAACGTGTTATTTTGTAACAAGTAGCTAGATAATTCATTTTAAACTTTAAAATTTGGTTGCGTGCTTAAGAATTCGGTGACCCTTCATCCCTACCTTGATGCTCGTATTGCATGGTTCTCAAAAGGGGGATCACTTAGGCATGCGAATCAGCGCAGGTTGTTTATGCAAACCACGAATCAGCTGTTTAACGAGGACCTTAACATCTGCATGTATAGTCTTAAAGGAGGTTAACGTAAATTTTGCTTTGTATTGCCTCTTCAGTTTGTCAAGAGTGATAAATTGAACTTCTGATTGTAAGCCACGGGATTTGCGTCTTTATTTTCGCAAGGGCTTTGTATCGATGAAAAATAACTAATAACATAAATTGCTTAACATGTTCATACGTTTCCGTGCAGGAAACGTTTCCTTGCAACTAACTTTACTGCCCCATAGTTCCCTAGTGGAAGGAAACAAACGATTGCTGTTGTGTTTGATGTTAATAGAAATTCTCTTTGCTGTTAAGATGAATGGGCTTTTTACTGGCGATGACAAGATAATTTAATTACTGTCACCAAAATGGATGGCTTTTAATTAAACGTCGGTTAAAGACTACCGCCAGCTGAAGTTGATAAGCTGAACCCCACTGTTTGTTTAGATATTAGAAACTTTATACCTATTTTACTGCGATATAGATAACAGGTATTTTTTGAAAACACCTAGTAAGTAATAACAGAATTAGGTCTAAGGGACTATTTACATTTGTGCGCTCTTGTGGTGTACATTGTAGCAAGTTATTTACTTTAGAATCAGGGCCTTTTCTAAATGGAATACAATTTTCTTATTGTTCTTCGAGTAGAATATATTGGGAATGCCCAACCTTAATTCATCGGATTATTATAAATAGGAACCAGATTGGGCGTGGCAGGCACGTAATGGGATTGATTGGGATCATACTGCTAGGTTTGACGGCCATGTTTAAAGCTGTCGATTTCATTGTGTCTTGAAGTTTTCTTGTTCAATCTCATTCTAGACCTGTCCAGTAGTTGATCGTTTCTCGTCCCATCTGATCAATGACGGGGTACGAGCTCCTGTCTCCAATCTACGTCTTAGTAAAGGAGTTGAAGACAATTCTCGTAAAAATCGATCGTAGACTTGATTTTCAAGCCATAAAACTTTTACTATCATTTTATAGCTACTATTACTCTTTCCGTTCGGACAAAGTGATCTGTTCGCTGGTGTTGCACTGAGAGGGATAAGACGGACTGTTTCATCTTATGATCTATCAAGGTGTGACATCTGCTTTTAGTGATAAGACGTTGTGCCCAGGATATGGAATGCTAGTGGAAACGTTCAGTGACCGAAACCGTAACCTGGCCTTTTTTTGTTGTTGTTGTTGTTCTCGAAGCAATGTCAGCGAAAACTATATTTTACACCTTTCCAATGAACCGATCGCTTTGATATCTGAATTTCACTTTCCATTAACGAAGGAAAGGACAAGTTCTGATCATAGTTCTTGTGTTTGTTATGTCTTTTGCTTTATCCTCTCAAGGTCATTTGAATTATGGAGTTTCACGAACATGCACTGTCATTACTCAACTGGGCAATTTTTAATCCACCGCGCGCGATGTTGGTTAAGGTTTTCACAGTTGTTCGTAGGAGATGAAAGAATTAACACAATCCATGGCGGTGAACGTTATTTATGGGATATACTTGGAAAACTGTAACGTTACATTGATGAGTAACAGATTATATTAGGACCACACCCTACACAACGAGAAATATGATAAAGCCACACAAGCGGAGATGACGGCTATAAAGTGGAACGGGCAAGGAAGGGCATTGCAGAGAAAGTTTGCATGTCTAAATATAACCTGCAGAAGAGTGTTGATTAACTCTAATCATCTGAACGAGCTTTCGTAGTTATCATGATAGTCATCCGTTGAAACAAATTACGTATTCGTTTGGAAATTATTCGTCTATAAAATGATGCGACAGATGCGAATTTTAACACGAAACACAAATTAAGATAAGGAAGGAAATCTCAAGGTCATCAACACATCAAAAATGTTTAGAATTCTTCAGGATATGGGAAAAGCCACTGTCCACTTATCGCACGGATTGTGATGGATTATAATTTAATTTGAGCAGGAAACAGTTTATTTTGAGGCTACAGTCAACTACGTGGGGGAAATTATGACACTATATGTAGCAACAAGTTCCATGAGACAAAGAGAGTAAGACAAATAATACCGAAGGGCAATATTTTCTTTTTGTAGCCAGTAAAAGAAATTGAAAAATAAACCGATTACCACATATACTTCTCTTTCATAGCTTTGACTGAATGGACACACTTCTGAAATTCGTAAGTCACAAATTCGAAAGTCACAAAGTCAGTTATATTGTGTTAAATAGTAATTAAGCAGCAGGACAACCTAGTTTCAGCAGTACAGAGGTCCCGTTCGTGTACTAAGCTCAGTAGTAAATGTGTTCTATCATATTCTATTTCATTTCCAAGGTTGAACAAAAGATTTCAAAATATTCCAAAGGAGATCTGTATCGAATAGAATAACTGCTCTGGATACCTCTTATTTGGAGAGTTTCTTCCAGATACTCCTCTAGTGTAAACGCATGATTTTTACTCTGTGAAACGAAAGTAATAAGTGACTTATAAGTGGTCTCCGTACTGATTTCACAATAGCGTTTGTTGATGGACCATTGGAAATATAGTTAGACGCACAAAATAAAGATTTCACTGAGGAAAGGCGATCCTTTGCTGACTTTTCAGTTACAAATTAAAAAGCACAAAACGCGAGACAGAGCCATGCAACTCTGTTCAGTACTGTCGTGTTCGAAGGACCCGCAACTGTATGTTATTAGATCGCCAGACAACCGCCGTTGATCGAACTACTCGGGGTACACAGGACGACGTGATGGAGACTCGCTGCCCCCGCTTCCTCAGTAGTTTTGCTCTTCCGAGATTGCGACAGGGAGAGGGAGGGGATGGAACTTGACTTATGGTTGAGTAGTGGGCTGCCGCTGACCCCGACACTGTTTTGGTAAGAAAAATGCCTACTATAAATAAGACAACACCCTCTATTTGAAAGCGCTTTAATGACAAAGAATTGGGTGGAATAAGCCATATTCGTATTCTCGGTATTCAGGACTGGACGGACCTAACTTGCAATGGAGGCGTCATGCGGGGGAATATCATTCAAAAAAGAGGTTACAAAGAGGTAATACCTCCTCCCTCCATGCTGGTGAAACTTTATTTCTGATCTATTAGGTCTGTGAAGCGGTCTCGCGGTCCAAACCCTTTTGCTCACGTGCCTATCTCGCTCTTTTTGAATCAATAATAATTATAGTTGTGCATCGTATCTGGTTTATTCGCAGTGGCCAACCCAAGTTCAGTTCAACCACGCAAAAGAAAATACTCCTTATGGCATGCTGACGAGAACTGCTTCTATTTTCAATCCCATTATGGCAGTCGTCCTAATTTAACGTTTCCCACGGTGAAAGTGGAATAAGATTAATTAGCGAGACATGAGAAAATTAAAGAGTTATTTTGCTTTATGAGGCAAAATTTCCGTAAGTTTAGTTCCCACGATTATTTGCGTTAAGAAGGAAATTCTTTGTGTTTGTTTATTTCTCAGCGCTCTAAAAATAAACGTTCTTCCGGCTAATCCTGTGTATTCTATCAGTGCAAAAGTGCTAGACAAAAACACTAAGCGCTAACTGTTTCTCGAGGTAACCTAGGACCAAATTTTTAAGAAGAGAATTGCTCATGAAAAAGTTATTAACGAACCGGGGCGAATATTTCGCTAGTAAGGCAACTTTTTATGCGTCCACAAGTTGGGTGTTAACTTTTGTAGACTAAGATTATGACAATAAGCACCTCGACTGAAGGAACATGCACGCTGCTTTGAATTTTATCTTTTTTAAAAGAAAATTCTGGATCTGAGAAACAACGTCTAAAGTGATCCTGTTTAGATTAGATTATTTAATTAGATCTACAATTGCATAAAGATTCTCGTCTTTAAGTAAATATACCGGTCAATTACGTAATCTTTTTTAACTAGAATTGTGAAGAACCTTGTAATTTTGCGGTCCTGAATGTGTTTCTTTTAACCTAACTCAGACAACCAGATATAATGTTGGGCCAATACAATTTGCGAAATCAGGCTTCACAACCCATCCCTTGTAGCATGGCCGTTTTTGTTGTTTTCGTCGTCATCGTTGTTGTTCTTTTATTATTGTGATAATTGGTTGCTTGTACTGTCATCCATTTTGTTATGATCTGGGTACTTGTGGTATAGTACTCTCGAGATACTGGACGAGAAACAAATAATATTTACGCCATTCAGTTTTTGCTTTTGGAATGTTGCGCTTGACTTGACACGCGAACCGTGGGTAAAGGCATTAGGACTGACTTAAGCAAAGATGGTATTTATATTTAGTCGCCCAAGTCGGTGTTTTGAATTCAAACATTCTTCATTTATAAGCAGGAGCACCTGGCCCGGAAATTCGCGTCAGCTGGCCAGTTGTCATGCTACCCTTCCCACGCAGACTCTTCAGGGTGATAATTGCGACCAATGGTCCAAACATTCACTGCCAGTTTAAATTAATGCCTCTCCATCCTGGCCCTTAAATGCTAGGTGATAGAAATTAAATGTTTACGAGGTTGACCTTATTTCTAATCCGGAAATACACGGAAGGTATCATGTCCGAGTTTGACAAGTTTGATGGTCCACTGTCTATCTTCTATAGCTGCTTTCATAACCCCAAACTATCTATTTCAGTGTAATCTTCAAACTAGACTTCCAGTTGCATTAAGTTGATTTAAAATAAAACTGGAAGATTTAATTTTTTTTTTTCTATTTTTTATTTCTAAGACAAATTTTTGACCTGTTGACCAAGCTAATACACAGTATTGTTTTACAGTCACAAACTTTAGAACCTTATTGTATACATATTTAACATATATACATAACTATTTGCATAGTTATTATTTTTTCTTATTTTGAATTTACACTTTACAGTCTAATAGTTACGGTAACTTTAGTATATAGAGTCTATCGAACCTTGTATTTATGAGAGAATTGTTTTCGTTCTAATTTTAAAACTTCAGTCCGACATTTTTATTATCCAGCCATTTACATTTGGTTGATTATAAGTATCAATACAAAGTGAATGTCTGGAGGGATGTTTTAGTGGCCATTCGGAGTAATCTGAAGTGGATGAAGTGCCAAATCAATTATAAAAGTAAAATCTAGTAGCTACCAATAACAAGAAGAATTTAATCTGGTGGTGTTGCAGTTCGTGATTAAGTATGATTCTTTACTTCATTGCATCAGTCCAGATTGACACACATTTAATTGAAGACCAGTTATTGTAAATGGCTTTTTACATCCGTATTGTCGCAACATGCAGTGCACGGCCAAGACCTTCTTGGATTATCAGAGTACGACGGCAGACATGCGCACGGGCTTGAGGTATACAATGGAACTGCTGACCAGGAGTACTGTGCGAAATTGCTTTGAGGTGTAATAGCACTTCCTGGGCTGAAAGGTATACTGTTGGCAGCATAAAAGTGTTGAGGGCTCCAAGGTACTTCATGGCCACTGAAGTGATGCTCCAAAGCTTTATTTTCAATTTCACTCGTGGTTAGCTCTTCTCCGTCTTTCATTTGCTTCCTGTATTTGGCTCTTCGGTTTTTAAACCACACCTAAAAGGTAACATGATCCGAGTTATTTTTCACTGATTTGTATGTGAATCACTCTGTGCTTTGTCTGCACAATCTGCTGTCTGAGCGAAACAAGGGTGTCACATGTCCATTTACTTTATTCGGTAAGATGTCGGTAAACTGTCTAGAGACGCTAAGGGCGATTGAATCAGTTGTTTGAAGAGTGCGTGGTTCTCGAGGGGTCATTGCGAAGGACTCCCAGTCGAGTTGTGGAGGTACGAGTCTGCCCCCTTGCAATCCCATGTTCCTTGACAACTCATTAATTGGGAGGTTCTCTTCCTTCACCCATACAGGTGTGTATATTGGTGTCATTAATCGAATTGTTGTTGAAATCTGACATAATATTGGCAGACCTTCGCTGACTAGTATTCTATCTAGGGGGTAAACAGGGCGGGTAAAGCGGATTTACGCGCCCTCGGCACGAGGCTTGGCTCTTAATCTGAAGTTTGTCCCGTAGTACTTGCAAGCTAGCTGTCTCACTCAGCACACAATTTATCCTTGAATTCATTTTCAAGAATACTTACATCTTTGACTCAATTGGTAGCAACATGCAGCTACCCGGGTGGAGAGAACCACTAAAGGCAAATTGTATTTCGCCACGATACTGGCGAAACAGCTGTATGAGACTAGGCTCGTTCCCTCGACCTCCCTTGTACCTCCCACTGCTAAGTACCGCGGTAAGCCGAGAGAGAAGGAGTATTCAGGTATCGTGATAAACCTCGACGGAGAAATCTTTCCTGATAATACTGTATATATAAGTCCATTACCACTATCTAAAGAATATTCCAATAAGAGACTTCCGACTTGCCTGGATTCTTGACTCTGGAATGTTAATATAGGCTGCCAGCTGCTCCCTCATCACAACATCTGGGTAATGTGTCTTTGAAAATGTATTTTCTAATATCTGCAGCTGCTGGTGAGTGAAGGCAGTGCGTGTTCGCCGATGCTTGCCTCTCGATGATCCATAATGCACTTCCAGTATTATATCTGTGAAGACAAGCGTTGTTGTGTTAAATTGTTTTCTGGTGAAGCTGGCAGGTTGCAGAAATTGTTGTGGAAATATTTAAGTTAATAATAAAGTATCTATCTATCTATCTATCTATCTATCTATCTATCTATCTATCTATCTACCTATCTATCTAAGTTGAATATCACGAAGGCAACGGTTTGAGAAACCTTTGTTTACCGCGAACAAAATCGGAATGCGTTTCAAACATTCGAGACTTTTAATGTTATCAATTTTATTGGCAGGTCCACACCCTGCCATATTCAGACCTGCCTTGTCAGAAAAGTACATGTATATGTATGTATGTACTTGAATCGAATCCTCCATTGCTGTGTTTATAATAAGTTTGTTAAAAAATTCAGTTTGTAACCACTCTGCTGATTACTCCAGTTAGGAAAGAAAATTAAGATACGAGCCATCTTTAAGTTTTTCAGGCTCAAACTCAAAACAAAAGTTCTTCATACTGATTACCATACTGTTATAATGACGCGAGTGGAAGCTGTAAGTGCAGTATATCAAGAATACAAACAAATTGGTATTCCAAGCATAAAACTCTTGATCCCTTTTGCAGGCATTATGGACAGCTACAAGGAGTGTGCTTTGTTTTGCAAGGTGATAGATTGATTCTTCTGGGAGAAAAAAGCGATTGCTCGAGGTATCTTCTAGTCGATTTACACCGGCTAACTCCTATCATGTAAATTACTTGGCAAAAACAAGAAAGAATGTTACGCTCTTTTCTGCTATTTTGAGGCCATAATTTTATCTTTACGAGATTTCGCTCGCTAGTGATGTTATCAATTCTACTATGACGCTGTCGTTGGCGAAGTGTGAATTCATCATACGATACTCACCAGCTAGGCGCTCAGCCAGTGTTAAAGCCCGATCTGCGGAACGAGGTTCTTGACTTGAATCACATTTGTCAGGCTTCAGTATGTTGTCTATGGAGAATGACGAAGTACTTAGATCTGACTCCATCTTTGTTGTTGGCTACAAGGTGTTGACACAGGATACCGTGGGCCGCACAAACCGTCAATGATCACAAGTGAAAGCCCTCCGTGGTTTCTTGTTTTGCTATCTGCGGCAGACAGTAGTATGTTAGTGACTTACCGTCTTTGTAAATTAGCGAAGCGCTAGTGGACAGTAAGTAGATAGAGGGATATGTTCAGCCGTGCTGTTTTGCATCGTGAAGTTTTGTTTCCTTAATAGTATTTCGAGACGCAAGTTACTTTAATTCCGCCTTTCCTGCAGCTAAATGCAATCGCGCAGATTACTAACTGATTTCTAAAACATTCTAAGCAGATTTACTTCTTTCTTTCCTTTCTCTTCGGGTAAAATGGTCAAACTTAAGACAAAACGACAGGCTCAAAATCCTATAACGAGTTCTTAACTGAATAACAATGGAAGAGAAAACGAAACATTTCCCGAAACAGTAGAAGTAATACCGAATGACGGAGGCTTTGTTACGTCCTAAGAACAGTTAATACAATGGAACCAGATTGCGTAGCTTTGGCTGAAAAGCATTGTAAGCAGATTTACTTCTTTCCTTCTTTCTCCAGGACTAAAGTGATAAAGAGGAGTTGAGACAGACTTGAAATCCTATAACGAGTTCATAACTGCGTTACAATTGATAAACAGAGAAAGGGAAGAATGTATATGGCGAAAATATCACGGAATCCGATTGTACTTTTTTTTTATCATACCCTCGCTTCTCAAAATCTTTCTTCAAAGGTTCCGGAATCTTCCTTGGCAGAATTCGTGTTACAAATTTACTTTGTCATACGTCTAATACTATACAGTACTTGTGTGAAACCGCGGATATTGTAACACAGAAACAAGCGATTTCCTTCGACTGACCTATTCTGTACCACTATATACACCATGAAAACCATGTGGATATTAAAAAGGTAATCCGTGTGAGCTTTGGTATCAAAACAGCTATGCCGAAAACCTTTATTTCATTTACTTTCCAAGCGTTGCTCATTTCCGAACATAAACTCCAGCAGTGGGGTTAAGCAAATCGTGCTTAAGAGAAACAGCCAACGGACTATATTGCCTAAACCAGGTTTATCACTGTGTACACACCTCCATCGGTTTCGTATGCCGATCGTTTGCTCAAGAAATTCGGTGGCTGACACTGATTGATAGCTGCATAATTACAGCCTTGTGGACCTCCTTGAAGAGGCTTTCTGTTAGTGTACAACGGAGAAAAGGGTAATCAATTTTATAGGAAACTATGATCATCCGGGATCATAACGCGTTTTCGGAACCACTTTAATAAATGCTACGTGACTTGAACCTTTGAGGATGTGTGACGCAACGCACGTAACATTTTTGTTTAGAATAGAAGATAGGCGAAATTGTCGCAGTCTTAACAATCCCTGCCCGCATGTTGTGAATGAGAAAAAGGAACAAAAATAAGGAAGTTGACTCATGCGAATTCATGATCACTAAGTTGGTTAATACATCACTTTTCAAGAAATTGGTGCCGTTAATAAAGAGATCTTGGAAGCACTGTCGGTCCGTGGTGGAAGACGGAAATTAATTCCCATTTCTTTGAATTCAGTGCCGTACTGCATGATTTACAAGATCAATTTAGATGATTAACTTTATAACCTGGAATGACGTCTTAACGATAGTTTACTGGAAATTTTAGACTTGTTTTTCTTCATTTTATTAGTCGCTTTTTGCGAAGGAAGCTGCCCATATGTTGAATATCCCATTAGTGAGCTGTTTTACCGTGATTTGATATAAAATCTCAGCGAGTTAATGCCTGCTTTCTCACTTCGGAAATTGACTGTAATAGCGTGTTTTCTTTATATAAACAAAGCATGAGAATGACGAGATTGTGAAAAAAGGTCTAAAAAATGTTACCAGAACTATTTTACTGTATTTTGATATTCTTTCAGGAAAGGTAACTATGGTGATAACAGGCATCAAAAGAATAATACCCTGAGTCGATTCTAACATAAATATTGAATAGCGAGTGCGAGCATTAATTATTTGGTGCTAATTTCATTTGATTTTAGTCAAGTGAGGTATTAGATGCATGACTTCAGTTGATTAAAATTCACTTAATGGTGCGAAACATTTTAGCGATACGTTGACGATTGTTAGTCAGCCTCGCTTCGTGCCGGCTAGCCCAGTGTCTGTGCACTGAATACGTGCGTTGGATATCTTTTGTTGCTTAAAAATCCACGCAACACACTGGTATGTTCATTCCTAGGCATTTCTAGACACTAACTAACATTTAATTTGGTCTCGCAATTTCTTGAAAAACTAAAAAAGGATACTTCCGTGTCTAAAGTGTGTCATGCGCGCATTGCGCGTTGCTCGACAAAGCCACTGTGGTTCTGATTCAAAACTGACCGGAAACATTTAAGCGGGAAGAAAAATCCAAAGCAAATCTGTGCCCAATTTTTTCATATGTAGCGCTTTAACGAGGTTCTTGCCTAGAGAAGGATTACAGAAGCACTCTCACGCACAGTCTCTGTAGTACGCTAAGTATGTCCAGTTACGTCATTAACCACGAAATACAAATCTTTTTCCGTTCTCAGCCAAACACAACACTGTTGATCCCCGCTTAGCTTCAGTGAGTTTTTAAAAACCGCTTAACTGTATTTTTGGACGTGCTCGTTTTGGTGATCCTATATTCATGTCACGCTATGTTCTTTACACGCCAATCTTTCTGCACAAGTGAGTGATTTAAAGTTGGCTTTTGATCTTTTCTTTGGTCTTTCCTATCATCTTCAATCGAGGGGTGAAAAATTAAACAACACTTTTGCCGGGACCAAGAATGATCCGGTTTGTTTTTCTGATGTCCAGCACACTGTTTCAAAGTCCAAACTGTTATTTTTTTTTTTTAACGTCCTACAATTCTTTGTAGGACGTTCAAAAAACAACAGGAACAGGAAGTGATCGCGTTCTAGCAAAAACTGCCGATGATATATTCTTGCTATTGGAAGTCGGTTATTTCAGTGGATTTAGTTGCCGGTCTTGCTGCCTGGAGTACATTAGATCGCTATTGTAATTCTTTATATTGCTGCTTAAAAAAGATTAAGGCGTTTTCTTCCACTATACAAACTTTGGAGAAACACTTTCGTTTAGGTGACAAGTGTTGAACACAAGTACTGAACACAGCGACTCTATAGTTTCTTGGCTTTGATGGCTGCAGAGCCGTTGAAGACTCTTTCAGAGTGTTTTGTTGAAGAACTTAATAGCAGTGGCGTCACTGAACGAATTCAAGTGGTCTGCGTGTTAACTCTAACACACCGGCATTTGGTGACGACTCAAACTTTGGAGGAGCGAAAAATAACGCTTATCGACAAGAGATGTTATTTTACTGTACGTTTTGGATAGTAAAAAAGTGAATCTTTTTTTATCGTATTCTTCACCACCCAATTATCCAACTATTGTTTTGCCAGTTACTTATCTGTGACATTCTGAAATCAAAATTCTTAATTCACTTGAAGAAGTTTATTTGACCTAGTTGTTTTGATCTTAATTTTAGTTACGCTTGGTCTTTGAGATTTCATATCCAAATAGGTTAAATCCAAGAAAAACAACAAGTCTGCGCGCTCTTTTCTTTAAAATAGTCTTATGTAAAGTAAAGTACGAGCAGTAAAATGCCACGTTGTACCTGTTTCAGTTGGACACGGACTTTTTCTATCTTGCTTTCCTTTATGTATAACTTCTGACGTTGGCAGCTATTCTTTAGCCGTCTCCTGCCAGGGAACTGTTAGACTGTCCCCGTTTAGGCTTTGCACCGCACAGTTAAGCACGTCCGTCACTCGTCATTGTGCCGTGTTATATATGCGTGATGGGTTGTTTGTTTAGTATTGCAGAAGTAACTGCTCCGTGAGCTCATTTTGAAAGCCTAATTCTGTCACTCTGCAAGGCATTTTACTAATCCTGTCTAGCCTACTTTATAGCTTTGAGACATTCATTTTTTCTCTAAAAAAAGAAAGTTCTCACTGCTTGAAGTTCACATGGAAAACGGCAAGGCGGAGTTAGAAATCACCAATCCGAACAGCGAAAGGAACGTAGTAAATAAATAGAAAATTGTTTTCACAAGACTAGTGATTTCACGAAGAGAGGAAACGTGTTTTTGAAAGGATAATGCTTATGGAGTATTAGTATTATCGTCATATATTTATACGGACTGTCGGATGGAAATGACTTAAAGCGATTTTCGCTTAGCTGACTATAACTGGAGATTGACAGGGTTTGTGCTGCATGCGAGGCTTTCTCAAAGGAACGCGGCGTATTCCTGGTAGAAAACTGATCAAGGTGGAAGATAATCGGCAAAGTATGTTTTTGTTGATTCAAAAACTGCGGGACAAACATTTTTTGAAGGCCGATAGGTTGACGTTTTCAGTGTTAAACAAATAATGGTGTAATAGGTACTTAGTCTGCAGATTAAATTTTAATAAAGCGATTAACGTATTGCATTTTTGCGGATATAGGCAAGAATACTGAGTTGAAATCTACGTGTTAATTTGCTTGCTCTTTTGTACTGAATGGTGATTCTGTTCTGATTGTTCAGGCATTTTAGGCTGAAATTTTCAGTGCACAGAACTTCCAACAAGAAATTCCACTATTTTTCATTGAAGCTGTATTGTTTTCGTCGAATCATAGTTTACACAGGGATTTAAAGAGATTATTTACTAATGAGCCTTCTTATGTGATTGATTATTACGGGCTGCTCATCGAACGAGGAGGGCTACGACAAGCTTGTGAACACGCGATGGAACCATTTATTACATGCTGTTTCAAAAGCGCCAAATTTCCAAGTCCGCCTTGCCCGATAATGCGTGCGCGAAAACATCGCACGAAATTTATGCTTCGTAAAAAGTAGAACATATATGTAAGGACCTATCGTTATTTGCCCTTGCCGCTAAAACGCAAATGACAAATGGAGGTCATTCACTACGACAGAATGAGAAAATCACTTTATCGTGACATAACAAGTACAAATGAGATCAGCATCGCTAATATGGGGACGCATGCCCACACACGACCTATTTAGGTCGTCGGCTAGTACTCATTTTTTTGGTCTCTACGTGAAGACATTTTAAGCCTAAGGTATTTAACAAATTGTTAGTATCCAAAGAATTGAGTTATTCCAAAGAAAGATTTAACAGAGCATAATACCAAACATGTAGACAACTATTGAAAAATGAGCTTCACTTCATTCTTTTCTTGCTAATTCTTTTGTGCCTCTGTTTTTTTATAAACTGCAGTTACTCATGCCCATAAAATTCTTGATATGTTTCCGCTTTTTTCGTTCTGTTTTGTCAAGCATATTTGAAATTATTGTTTTTAAACGTTATATTTGTTTTAAATTGTTACTTTCCTTGATTAAAGGAAGTCGGTGAATATTTCTACTCCACTGACCGAGATCTCATTGACAAGATTTTCAAACGTTTCAACCAGCGCGAGGATAAAGGAACTATTTATCAATAGAATGTCAAAAGACACAACTTATAGGAAAGATGCAATAATTTGTTTTTCGTACAAACACAGATTTTAAAAGTTTCCCTTTTCCGAGATTATATAGTTTTTATTACGGCTTGAGAATATCTTAACCAGATTTCAGAGGAAAACTACGATTGACTAAATAAGCTGATTACTAAAGCAATCAAACAGTCACGGCATCACGTAATAACACAGGTGCGTTTTGCGTTTTGAAAATCAATGGAGTCTCACGAGCATTTAACATCTTTTCACCCATTGACTTTATTTTAATTTTTGGTTAGCTGATTTCTATGACAATATGTAAATTTTATTGCTGGTTCTAGTACCATAACTCATACCCAGGAAATGTTTAGTTAACGAATTACAGGAAGTGTTTACTGTGTTTATAGAGTGCTACATGCTTATACCAAACTGAAATATGACAAACCGTAGAGATTAGTGAGAAAAGTTATTGCACAGAACCTTGTCTTGGACTCTCTCTTTGTATTAGATTAGAATGAATGATGGCAATATTTAATTTCGCCCTATGCAAGGAGAAACACCATTTACGAGAGCAACGCCCATTTGATCAATATAATACGTGGAAGTAATTTCTTCAGTTTATAACTACAAGCTTTTCATTTTTAAAGCGCACTATTTTGGTTTCCCTTGTTGGTGTGTCATTGTTGGTACGATTATGAGGTTCCCCTTTTAAAATGTATTGAACCACGAGAGACCGAAAACTCCGTTTGCCGGATGGTTAAACAAACTTCAATTCTAGTTCCAGTTAGTTAAAGTTTAATTCTAGTTATCTAAACAAACTTAATTTCGGTTCACTGGATACATTTGCAAACTAGATGAAGGTTAACGTTTTAGTTTTGAATTTTTCTCAAATGAATTGCCCATAATTTTATATCGCATGCAGCTGAGCCCGTTGTAGTGGTGAAAAGTTCCATTTTTGTATCTCGTAGCTTTTGTAACACGAACCTCTGATCCGATCCGATTTTTCTTTGAAGAATCTGCACTCCGGCTGTGATAACAAACGTTTGAGGGAACGAGTACAGTAAATTCTTAAAATTACATTGTCACTGCGTATACTTGCATAGATAGCGTACAAGAGAGAAAATGCCCTACGTCTTTGTGATAGATATCCGCAAATAAACTATGCTGTAGCCAAAAAACGTACCGCATGGACCTCTCATGACCTCCACACAGCTAGTGCCTAAGAATAAAGCTGGCTTGGGATGTTTAATACGGTATTATAATAATCTATCACGGAACACACACTACTGGCACTGCTGACTGTTTGGTAATTGCAGAAAAGTGGTCGGGTGACTCATGGATGTTCCCATCAGAAATGTTTCTTTCAAAAAGGCTTTCAATTTTCTTGCAATTTCTTCCGTTAATTGTATGGGTTACTCAAGGGAGGATAGGGCTAAAATTCATAAGGGGATCACTGCACTTGCTCTAAAGATAAGTGTCGTGATACTCAAGACTATTTTCATAGTTTTGTGAGCCACAAGCCAAAGCTTGGCTCACCTTCAACCGGCGGCAGATGGAAACCTTCAGATCGTCGTCTTGGGGGGAGTGTCCGCTTTACACGCAAATCCGATTTCAGAGATCTCTCAAAGTGGATTTTCACGATTTTTAAAATGTTGCGACGCCTTGACACGAACGGAAAACGCGCACTCCCTGATGGTGGTTAGGACAGAGTTATTCACGGGAAAGCACGTAGAAGAATCTTATTCTATTTCTCATATTCATGACAGAATATTTCATTTTCTACCACACAGATGATGGAGAATTTGTAAATAAACATGTATGAGAATCAAATGGGAGGCAATGAGTATTTAACCTTTTTAGCCCCCAAAGTAGCCAGCATTAAATTTCTCTTCACAACGTC